GGGTGTCTCTCGGGACAACGAGGACCCTCCGGGGACCATGTGCGGAGCCTTGTCGCATCAGTAACGTTTACGCCGAGCTCCGCTCATACCCCAGCGCGCCCTGAACTTGTTGGCCCAACAAGGCGCTGAAAGCAGTAAGAAAACAAGATCCATCAGGGAGCTGGAAAGACTAATTGCTCTGTATGTTAATCTGACATTTTCCCTCTGTAGATCGGCCCATACAGGCCTCTTCAGAGGCGTTTCTGTTGCTTATTCAGCACGAGCCCCGCTGCCTGTGCTGCTAACAAGTTCTCTGCCTTTGTTCCAGACTTGCCGCAGAGCGGCTGCCATGGAGGGAACCCGGCAAAGTAGGATTTGTCGTCCGCACAAGATCAGCGAGTCCTCCAAGGTCTGTAGCGCTCGTACCTGCCGGTCGGGGGAATGGGGGGCTCTGCTTTAGGGCTGTGTTGGAGTCTGGTCTCAGAATTGCTAGAAGAGATCTAAACCCAGTGATCTAAGTGCACAGATATTGCTGAAATGTAATTTGCTGTATTGTGCTTGAAGATTGAAAAGTAGCAGAAAATGGGCATCTGTTCATTGTGACTCATAACTTAAAGAAACCTACATCACTGCAACACAGTATTATTTTCTACACTAGAACTTTAGTCATTAAGTTAAATAAAAAATAAGAAGCCGAATTAGCTGTTCTGTTTAAACATAATCTTTTGTTTTATATGGAGTGGGAGCTGTGATCCAGCAAACAAGAGTTAATCCTGTGAAGTCCGTGGGATGTTTTCTTGGCTCTGAGAGGTTCATTTCCCTTGGCTAGGATCTCTTTCAGCACCAATAGGTTGATCTCAGCAGGGAATCCCCAGAAGTCCATCTTAAGTAACTTTACATGGAGTCAGGATGACAGCCTTCGCTTTGTAAAATGTTAATAGCAGCAGTATTTGTGATGATGTTATTTTGATATCAATGAAAGCTGCTTTTTATTTTTTTTATTTATTTATCTGTTGCTGTGCCAGCTCTGGGTTACAGACATTGCACACCAATCATCTACCTACCACTGCTGGAAAAGCAAACCTGTTCAGTACAGGTGTCTGTCTTATCGAAGTTGAATGAGACAGATCACACTTTCTTTTGCCTCACTGAGGAGTAGTGATCCTCCATTAACGATCAAAAAGAAATTAGATACCTGAATCCAAAGGAACATAGAATGTTTGCGGCTCTAATTTCAAATGTTTAAAGATTAAAAAAAATCTCATTTCTAAATGCATCCCTTTTCCTGAGAGCTGATCCCATCTACCATTTAAATGGTTTAGTCTGAATGTAATAATAACTTATCGCATTAAAAATTAATTAACTTGACAGCATTGTGTTATCTTCTTGCTGAGACAGCAGCTGTCACTCTCCGTAAAACTTAGAATTACTGGTTAATGCCAAACTTGTTCAACAGAATATAAATAGCTTGAGAAAGCTGTTTAGTGTAAAACCTGTCCTGGTTTTGAAATGTGTAACTATCAGGTTATGTTTCTTGCTCTTTGAATGAACGGTTAACTTGCTGAGTGGCTCAGAGATGTTAACATACTCCGAGTTTATTCAGTGCCATAAATAATCATTTTATGCATGGTTTTTGAAGTGGCAGCAGTTCTCCAGGGCAGCAAGGATTTCAGCAGTACGTGTTGTTATAAGTGTTTGTGGGCAGGATTACACTACTGGCTCCACAGCCAGGTAAATAAACGGGGATCTTTGGCAACTCTTACATTCTTGTGTAATCTTGTTATGCAAGGTGGTGGAATTAGAGAATATTGAGAGAGATGACCAGCCACTTAGAAGGATGGGAATTAATGTGGGTTTGGCTTAATCCAATAATTTTGTCTGTCAAGTCAAATTCAGATTGAGGTTCAGTAAACTCTTGGTTGTTACCTCTTCATCCTCTAAGAAAACCTGTCTTATATTTGGCACAAATGTATGGTTTGTCCTTCATCATTTTTATTATTTTTCAGTGGAAGTTAGTTTGTTGCCTATGCCACAGATCGTGTTTTAAATTCAGAGAACATGATGTGAAGTATGAGGCATACTCAGAGTTTTGGCCCACAAAGCTTAAAATTGTTGAAGCCTCTCCCATTAGACTGGTTTAACTCTGTGTAGTTGTGTGTATACAGTTACCCTGAAAGAAGGCTTCTTGGCAGCTTAGCCTGCAGTGTTTAGAAAAGAGCATAAGCAAAATTAAAGAGAAACCACTTGGATATGATCTTAAGGGCATTCATTTGGGAAATAACATCTGATAAAACTTCCTTTGTAGATGAGGTTTAAATGGAGAAGCAGGCAGGAACCCAGATGTAGGTCACCTTTCCTCCAGTGTCAACCAACACAAGGTGATTGCTGTAAAGTGGCCCTTGAGTTTTCTGTTTGGAGGGGATGTAAAATGCAAATTTCCATATAGGAGCTGATAATGAAAAATATCATTTATTAGCTGCAGGGATAAACAACTGCATGGTGAACAATTGCAGGGCCTTGAGGAGTCATTGTGTTCCTTAAAGGTCTTTGTGAACCTACCTGATGTGTACGTAGGATTTAGGGCTCTTTATGAGTTTCTGGACATGATTCTGAAAGTAGCTCAGTAGGCTCAGTTTTGCCGCAGAAGCCGGTCTGTTTTTGCATCATGTTGTAGAAGCAGGTCTCGTGTAACAGAAGTGCTGCCCAAACCTTACCTGGCACAGCCCATGTGGTTACTCATGCAGACCTAGTCTTTGGCACGCTGCCCGTCACTGTCCCACCAGTGTTAACAGGTCGGGCTCCCCAGCTTGCTGTTAGCTCAGAGCAGTTGGCTGCCGTTATGTCTGGACAGTGGTGAGCTGTGTGCATTGGGCAGCCAATATGAAAGTATTATTACCAAATTATATATACAGAGTGCAAACGCAAAGTGAGGTTTCCAGCAGCAGGAAAAGCTTGGCTGTAGGTCTTGAACTTTTCTCATCCAGGTGCACAGAGAAGTCGCCCAGTGAGTTAACCAACCCATCGCTAGACAGGAATAATCATTTGTTGTCTGTCTGGGAAGCTGGAAACACATTTTTACCATTTCCTAAGCAGTAAATGGCAAGCAATAGTTCAGCAAAGGAGAGGCCGAATGACTGAGAGGCTTGAGGAGAACTCGGGTTGGTTGTGTGACTTTTCCAAAAGTACTGTGGTAGGAGACACTCTCTCAGGGTCAGAGCTCGTTGTGGGAATGCGGCCTGAATGTGCAGGACTGGGCAAGATCCGAAGTCTGGCAACCAGAAATGTTTAGAACAAACTCAATGCAACACAAAGAAGCGCTTCCATTCCATCTCATTTCATTTCTTTTACATGTTCTTGCAAGCCCTGCAACTCTGTCTATTTTGGATTTGGTAATTAAAATGATGTATTTGCATTTAACTTAACCCAGCTTTTATTGAGAGAGATCACAAGGTAACTGACTGCATGTAGCAGCATTCCATTCCTTCAGAAGGATGATCCTAAAGGCTCTATCGCTTGACATACCGGAGGGACCAGTTCCTTCAGTGTGTCTTCAACAGGACATATAGGGGGTAATAAAATGTTTTCCATGTGATTTTTTTTAAGACTGGAAAGTTTGTGTGAAAGAAGGGTTTTTGCTTCAGCAGTGCTGTGGCATATACAGAGCTAGTGAAAAGAAAGTCTGGACCAGAAGCATCCCAGAAGAGCAATTAATAGACATGTTTGAAGAGCATCTACCTTTATAGGGGTGTGTGTGTGTGTATATATATATATATATATAGTTGAATTCATTAAAACAAAAGCTACCTTGGTTTCTGGAAGCAAGTAGTAGTCAAATGGGAATAAGTTACCCACATGTGTGGCTTTGCACATAAATAAAGAGCTATTGTTTTTTTTTGTTTTTTGAATGCAGTGTGCATGCCTGGAATAATATGAAAAGGCAGGGATTTTGCCCTAATGAGCTTACCAATGCAGAGCTCTGAAAAGATTTAAGAGGGGGTAGCTGTCAAGTAAGCACTAACCCAAACAATACATGGGCTGAATGAAAATTTGGCACACTGCTGTGTGTGTGTCTGCCCCCACAAATGTTTAGTGTGTAACTTGGTTGTGAGGGACTATGTAAAAAGCTGTTTGAGGGACAAATAAGAAAGGAAATGTCAGCAACATATTTTAAAGACAATGAGTGGAAGAGTTTCAGAAAATGATGGTTTTATAAATTTAGGAAGGTTTGAGTCCAGTGCTGTGGACGAGATGACAGGGTTTTATGACAGAAATGGCTCATTGGAAGGCACAGAGCCTGTACAGGCCCCTCCAAGTGAAGGTGAGGAGCTTGGGCACATAGAATATCACAGGCCAACTAGTTCAAATCAGAAACTGCAGCACAAATAAGATCTCTGTCCTGTGTGTGGATATCTGCCTTGAGAAAACACTGTAAGAATGCTTGAGTTTCCCTTGCTAAAGAAAACATCAGCCTGATCCTGTTTGCTTATTGCAGGTGTACAGATGGGACGACCACTCGAGTCTTGTTCTTCAGAGTCTGAATGAGCAGAGGCATCGAGGCCTCTTTTGTGACATTGTCCTTGTGGTGGATGAACAGAGAGTCCCTGCCCATCGGAACCTCCTGGCTGTTTGCAGTGACTACTTCAACTCTATGTTCACTATTGGCATGCGAGAAGCCCACCAAAAAGAGGTGGAGCTTTTTGGAGCCTCTTATATCGGTCTCAAGGCTGTGGTAGATTTCCTGTATGGCAGCGAGCTCTCTTTAGATGGTGGCAATATTGACTACGTGCTCGAAACAGCTCATCTGCTGCAGATCTGGAAGGTGGTCGACTTTTGTTGTGAGTATCTTGAAAATGAAGTCAGTGAGGAGAACTATTTGTACCTGCAAGAGCTAGCCTCCATCTATAACCTGAAGCGCCTTGACTCCTACATCGATTCTTTCATCTTGCAGAACTTTGGCACTCTGTCCTTCACCCCGGACTTCTTGCAGAATGTTTCCATGCAGAAGTTGTGCCAGTACCTGGACAGCAGCAACGTGCAGCAGGAGTGCGAGCACGACTTGCTGCAGGCTGCCCTGCAGTGGCTTACGCAGTACCCGGAAAGGGAGAACGAGGCCTACCAAGTTCTGGATAACATTCACTTTCCTTTGATACCTAAAAGTGATCTTCTGCATCGAGTCAAGCCCGCTGTCTGCTCTCTTCTTCCCAAAGAAGCAAACTGTGAGGGTTTTATAGAGGAAGCAGTGAACTACCACAATAATGTCACCGCTCAGCCGGTGCTGCAGAACAAACGGACTGCTCTGAGAACCAGCGAGGAGAGACTCCTCTTTGTTGGCGGCGAGGTGTCCGAGCGCTGCTTGGAACTGAGTGATGACACTTGCTTCTTGGACACCAGAAAGGGGCAGTGGGTGGCAGAGACCCCTCTCCCAGCCAGACGAAGTCACCACTGCGTTGCAGTCCTGGGAGGTTTCATTTTCATAGCCGGGGGCAGCTTTTCAAGAGACAACGGAGGGGATGCAGCTTCAAATCTCCTATATAGGTATGATCCCCGCTGTAACCAGTGGATAAAGGTGAGACTTGAGCTGTACTATATCTCTATTAAAAGTCCTTAATGTTTAGAGTATGTTCCTTTTATTTTGGTGGAAAGAAGGTGCTTGTAACAACAGTCAGCATGTAAAAATGATGAAAAAATGACTTGTTTAGATGGGGAAATGGCTACTTGATTCCTTTGTGTGAATGGTTTAATCGCACACAGGAGAGAGAGTTTGGGGCCAATTTTCAACCTCACTTAAAAACTAGGCATCTAATCTGTAGAAATCCCTGTTCAGGACCTAACTCCAGCTTTGTCAAGTTACTTCTGAGAATAGTGCTAGAGGGGGCCTGCAGTGGTGACTGCTTCGTTCATCTTTCCCAAGCAGTAGCACACATAAATAAATCAAAATTGGGTCTGATATTAAAAAAATAAAGCAAACGCCTCTGACATTTGTCAAATGTCACTTTGCTAAATGTCTCTCTGACATAGAGAACTTAGAATAAGCTATTCACTTCCAGTCATATTGTAGAAACCTGCTGCCAATGCAGAGCCTGTATACTGTGCCTGCCTTTCTGAACCAATAATCCTCTGGGATTCACTTCTGATTTTTGGCTGCTTCCGATAGACTTTTATTCATGGAGCTTGCAAGGTGACCCATGTAGCACTGAAACTTTTATGGAGTGGCCTGTTTCTTGAATTCTTTCTGTCATCTCCTTTTTTTTTCGAAAGAGGACTCTCTGAAACATGCTACTACAGAAAAATAGAAGCAATTTTTGAATATAGTAGATCAAAAGCAGTAGCTCTCATTGTCAAATTAATGGGGGAAAACTTGGTATCCTCAGACTTGTGTATATACGTATTCATTAAGTCAGCTTGCTTACTGCGTGTTAGAAGATGTTAACGTGTCACTTTTTTGCCAGGTTGCCTCGAGCTATTACTGACATGCTGGTGGCTGTGGGTGGCAGGAATGAAAATGGGGCCCTCTCTTCAGTTGAGACCTATAGTCCCCAAAAGGATACATGGTCCTATATAGCAGGCCTGCCAAGGTAATGGAGATAAGTTTGTGAAGTTGTCCTGTGTTTAAAGAGTGCTGGTGAAAAGAGCTTACATGATTTTAGCAGATGAATGGGTATTGAAAGGAAAAATAACCAACACTGTATCAGCAAGTAACATATCATATAAGTGATATCTGAGCAGACATCTCTTCCAGGCAATGTGATTCATATCAGATCGGTTGGTTTTGATTTCTGTCCAGAGATACAACCAAAGGAAGGAAGGGAAGAGGTCTTGTAATTTTGTTCTCCAGATTTTAATATTTTTTCCAAAAGTCACTCGGAGCAAAGTGTTTTCAGAGGCCCTGCTTGGCTCTTGATCAAAAGCTTTTAGAATTAGTTTGGCCTTAATTTGTTGCTTTGCTGCTGTCATTTTAGCTGTAACATGTTTGTCTGTGTTTTGCTGCTTATATTAGTTTTTGCAGATGATCTACATTTACCTGTATACAAATATTAGGTATCCCTGGCAAAAGTAACCTCTCTCAAGTGGGCAGCCCAAGTTAAAACTGTACTTTTGAGAGGCTTTAGACCAGAGCTCTTATTGTAACAACAGCACAGGACGTTCCTTGTACCTGGAATCAGCACTTGGGTGGTGACCATGTAAGGCTAGTAGGATAGTGTCTAATCTGCAAACAGCTATTCAGATTTTGCAGTATTTCACATTCTTGAGAATTACAAGGCTATATGAGTGGTATTTTCACCTTGTCTAGAACCTGTGGCTTCTTCGTGGCAACATCAACAAGACACAAGATTTTTTTATTTCCTTAGCCACAGAACTGTGGAGCTCTAGGCAGCCAGTGAAAGCACAGAAGGCTGTTAATTCTATTTTGGGTAGGTGCTGCAATGCGAGTCTGATCCACGCTAACAGCTGGGCTTCAGTGCTTTTAGGAAGAGGATGTTTTCTCTTTTTTCCTTCTGCTCACGTAGGCAGATCTGGCAATTGAGGCTGCACATCACCATCTTCCCTGGAAATCTGCATGGGAGAGTATCGTTAGTTCCTGTGCCCTTTGGTTAACTGGGGTGACTTGTGAGATTCCAGTAACGTCTCACAGAAATTGTAGCACAGCTGCTTCAGACACATTTTTGCAAAGAAATGCAAATGTGGCTCGACTGCCTTGAATGCTGTTTAAGAAACCAAACAAATCCCAAAACACTTGCCATAGAATGGGCATGGGTATCTTTTTTTCTCTGCCTGATTACCTTTCCCCCTCCACCATATAAAAATGGTCTTTGGGTAGGGTTTCATGGTTGGCTTGAGCCAACCAGGTTGAAAGCTGTCCAAAAAAGGGCAATGTTGTCTGTATGTTGCTGCTGCTTGCTGTGTGTTGCCTTTGGAAATTCTGCAGCTGCATGAAACCATCCAAGCTTCTGTTCTTGCAGTGATAGGCTCGTGTTGTTGTGTGGTGACAGCTTGTATGTAGATGGCTAAGGCTGTGTGGGGTGGGATTTTCAGAAGTTACATTTGCTAAATATTTTGTTTGGAAAGTGCAGGTAAGGATTTTCTTTTCTTTCCCAAGAATCATGGTGGAGATTTTGAGGGGAAAGGCAGTGGCTGCATCCTTGGCACACAGACCTCCCGTCAGCTTCCGAAGGCTGTGTCCTTGTTGCTGTACGCAGGAACGATACTGCTCCTCGGAGGAAGAGCTGTTGTTTCCCCAACCACTTTTCTTGGAAGGAGCTGACTTGTTTTGACTGAATAGTTCTGTCTTCCTGGAAAAGCAAGCGCCACATCCTGGGGCAGATGCTTAATGTGAAAAACTTCAGCCAAACTATCTAAATGATGGAACTGATCCAAGTCTGCTACAAGTGAATCTTGCCTGAACCTCACTAAGGTTCGTGGCTTTAGGATACCTTCCCCATTCCTAAAAAGAGTGCTATATTTTTTTAGACATTCCTCCTGTCTCTTTGGGAGCAGTTGCCTCCACAATTTTCAGTCTGGAATGTAACAGCAGTAGCTGACTGGCTTGGTAGAACACAAGCTGGTGCAATGTTTTCTCATCTTCAACAGACTTAGCAAAAGTGCTGCAGGCACCTGGGAAATTAATTGTGTGGCCCTAGGTTAAAGTTTAGCAGAATAAATGAGAGCAGTTGTACAAAGAAATGTGTTGGAACAGGTTAGCGAGTGATGGTAGCTGTTCTACTAGTTGTATCTTGAATAATCTTGCAACAGGTGGACTCAATGATTCTGAATAACCACAGCTCGCCTGGATGTTGGTTGGAGTAGGGAATTCCCAAAGGTTTAAGAACTGGGCTGTATATGGTGTTCATTTTATTTAAAAAAGATAAATTTTGGATAAAAAGATAAATTCCTGGATTGTCTAGAGTTTACCAAATGTGCTACTGTGACAGAAGCAGTGGTTTTGTAGCATGGTGATTGGGAAGCTTATTCAAAATTGGCTGTTGGTGCTAATGTGTCCTGAACGGAATGTGTCCTTTGGTGCTAATGTGTCCTTTCTCCTTAATGTCTCCATCTCCTCTGTCCACTCATAGAGATGATGCTTGTTGCTTGCAGTTGGAGGATGGCTGGGCCTTGTGTACTGAAATGGCCTGTTCTGTTGCATACCTCAAAAGTGCCACTGTTTAAACCACAGGAAGCTCTCTTTTGGATTGTCTTAAATTTGTGTATGGTTTCATGCAGTTTTGTGTTAGGCTGATGCCTAATATTTGCAGTTTGGGATGAACTTTTCATAAATCAGTCTAACCTAACAACCTGTTTCAACAGGTTATCTCCCTATATTTCAAAATAACAAATTCACAGCCAATTTTCTTCAGACAATTGCCTTTTCAGATTAGTGTTTCACCTGTTGTTGTTCACTGGACATACCTGTTGATCAAGGCAAAAAGAAGAGCTTCAGAGCTTTATCTAGGCTAGACTGCTTGTGTGGGCTTAAGAGAAAGTGTCTACCACTTGCTTATCCGTACAGAATTCTCCTTTCCTGCTGGTATAGGGAAAGGTTGAGGCTATCTAGACTATCTATTATCTCATGCTGCCTCTGTGGAGAGCCTTACTGCATGTCTTCCAGGTAGCTTGTTGGTTAGAAGATGTTGGTTTCAAATCCTACTCCGTTTGGGAAAAGGAGGGAATTCAGGTTGTCCATCCTGTTCCCAGTAGCTGGTCTAGCTCCTCAGAGCTGCCTATCTGATGCACACGGAGAAGCAAAGGGGGCACGAGCCAGGCTGGGTGCCCCAGGACGCTTGAGTGCTGCTCTACTTGGTTTTGTAGTCTCTTAGGGAACTGGGAGACTGCCTAAATCAACACCCAGCAGTTCTGGAAGGTGAAAAACTGCAGCGCGTGTGCCCAGGGAATTCTTGTCACACCGGAGTATCAAACAGGATTTAAGTGTCTCCGTGATTAGGCAGAGAATGAACTACAGAATTTCTGAGATGTCTTTTTTGAATATGGTATCATAGCTATTCATCAGATTTTTCATTTTGATGTGTGGTATTTTTGTTGGCTTTTTTGTTTTTTCAGTCTTGCGTTTAAGCTTCTGAAGCAAGTGACTAAGTAGCAATGAGAGTTCTGAGGTCTTCAAGTTCTGCATGGATGGTGCTGCAGTATCTGCCTTGGGCACACTTCACACTTCAGCCAAGTGTGTCAAGGATATTTGTTTTTTTTTTGTAAGGGGAGCTTGTTAAAATTATCTGATTCAGACACTGGTCAAGGATCGGAGACTTTGATAGCTCTCTAGAATAATAATAAACATCTTGAGCTTTTCTCAGAAGTATTGCGCTTTCAGGGGAAATGTGGCTTTTCTTTTCCACTTTTTCTCTTGGCTGCAAAGCGCTTGGTGCTTTATGTGCATGGAATAAGCTAAAGAACAGTTTGCGAGGTTGAGACAAACTATTACCATGTGAAATAAAAGCAGCTCGAGGTTCCGTCCACATTCAGCTTTGAGCGTGTTCAGGCAGAGCACAAAAGCATTCCAGGCTAGAGCACTGCTGGGATAGGTTTGTCTGCCATGGAGGCTGAGTTATCTTGAGTCCTTGGCTACATAGCAAGGGAGCAGCGTGCAGCAGGATGTGTATTTTGCTCTGCAGCCCCATGAGCATTAAATAGTTAGAGCTTTTTTCATGAATGTGTGAGCCAGTTTGTCATGGCTGGTGCTGCAGCTACATCTTTTGACAAAAAAGGGCATGTGCAGGAAGGGTGTATTCAAAGAAACTGAGGCTGCCCCTCATCTTAGCCTTCTACCTTGAGTTCAAAAGGGCTTGGTCAGAAACATCCATATGCAAAATTAAGAGCAGCCTCCAGAGCTGGGTTTGTAGTAGCTTCATTATTGCCAATCACAACATTTTTCTCTGTGCCCTATGGAAACGGCATTCATGATGATGATGGTTTCTGCAAGCTTATTTTGTCTTCAGATACGGGCCTCTGATCTCTGATTGAGAAGGTTTCATGACTTGTTCTGAGGTGACTGAAGACGTTATAGCCTGTATAGCAGATGTGGTAGAACAGACAGATCATGCAAAGGACGTTGATTGTGACATGTTTGTAAATAAACGGGGCTGTGAACACTGGGGCGTAAGAACTGATTCACGATCCTGAAGCTGTGGAAGGGGAAGACAGCAGTAGTTTTCTTGTTGGTTTTTCTTGGCTAATCGCTACTATTAAGTCTGCCAGGTATCATGATTATTTCCTCTTTCTGTCATAGAATCCCTTGCTGAGCTGTGGATTTTTTCCTCTCAGGCCCTCTCAGACTGATCCAACCCAAGCCCTGGAACAGAAAAATGGGAGAGAAGGCCATGGCAACTAGAGCAGGATGGGTTGCTTCTGTTGTATGACACACTATAGAGGATGCCTTAAAAAGTGCTTGTCATACCTTAGCACTCTGTAGTGACCAGGTATGAAAAGGATGCCTTGAAAAGTCACTGTTGTACCTTAGAACTCTGCAGCCACCAATATAAATATGGAGAAAAGCTACTGGGTAACTAACAGGATCAGGGATTCTCCTATCTTCTGTTAAATTTCTTGTATAGTATCAACCCTTGTGAAATGCTGGATATCTCAATAAAAACCGTAAGTACTAAGACAGACTTTTTTTTTTTGTTTGCCTGTCCTAGGTTTACTTATGGCCATGCAGGAACAGTCTACAAGGAATTTGTGTACATTTCAGGAGGCCACGACTACCAAATTGGCCCATACAGAAAAAATCTGCTCTGCTACGATTATCGCACCGATGTCTGGGAGGAGAAAAGGCCAATGATCACTGCCAGGGGGTGGCACAGCATGTGCACCCTCCAGGACCACATCTATTCCATTGGAGGCAGCGATGACAACATCGAAACCATGGCCCGTTTTGACATTCTGAGCGTGGAGTCGTACAGCCCTCAATGTAACCAGTGGACCAGAGTTGCCCCTTTGCTGCAAGCAAACAGTGAGTCAGGGGTGGCTGTTTGGGAAGGCAAGATATATATTCTTGGAGGCTACAGCTGGGAAGAAACAGTCTTCTCCAAAACAGTCCAAGTTTATGATAAGGAGAAGAATAAGTGGTACAGAGGAACAGACTTGCCCAAAGCAATTGCCGGTGTGTCTGCATGTGTCTGTGCATTGAAACCTAAAACAGATGACAAAAAGAAAAAGACCAAAACAAAAAAACATCAAGATCTAGGAAGATGACTACTTCTGCACAGCCAGCCTTCGAGGAGGGACTCCAGAGGAACTTTGTATTTAATTGTTTCTTTCTAGCCTTGATTCTTTTTTGAAATGGAAATGAAAGTGTCTTCTGAAGCCTCAGAAAATGTACAATTGAGTGTAGAATCATTTTTTGTTTGTTTTTTTGGGTTGAGGTCATGTTTAAGGTTAAAAGCAACAAAAACACAAAATCCAAAACCCCACCATGTAAGGGGTGAGGTGGCCAGAGAGGTTCTGCCACTCTCCTGAATGTAACAACATAGTCCTTTACCTCTGTGGTTAATGGCGTTTCCATGCACATCTTATTCTATTGACGTTTTAAACTTAAAACTAATTTCTGATGAGCTGATAGACAGAAGGCAGAGTACAGAGTGTTCATTTGGAAGCTACAGAGAAGCTCAGAAGCATCTGCTAAGAAAAAATGAAATGGAACTTGGACGTTATGTAAATATTGAATTTTTGTTGCATTAAATTTCTTTTACAGTATATTTTTGACTTGTTAGTATCAGATTTTTGGAACACATGCTTGTAAAGAGAATATTACTTTTGGTGAATGCAGATCGGATCAGCTTGTTGAGCAAATAGCTCCATTGTATTCCTGAGATCCAGAAGATGTTACTCTGTGGCTAAAGAACAGGTGGGCTTGGGGTGGTGGCCTTGTGAACACAGAAATTTGGGAAAGAAGACAGGATTTTTGCATCCATTGGTGGCAGGAACTGACATTTTTTGTAACACAAGAGCAAGCTTTTCTTAGACTTCCCAACCTGCCCCAGAATGAGAAGAAAACTGCTGAAGGTCTTGTGGTGACCATCCAAACCCACAAAACTTCAAGTAGCCACTGGGTGTTAGAGGGGTTGTATGGGACATCTGCTATCAAAAAGCTGATTAACCCGGGATGATTAATTGGGGTTCAGTAATCCTGAAGGAAAGCTACCTGGATTTTTATGTGAACTAACGGCCCACTTCCACTACCCCCCTCCTCCAATTTCAAGTTCAAAATAGCTTTTCATGAAACTAACCTTTCCTGATAGGCTTAGTGGGGACTGCAGCTCAGGGCTTATCGGGCATTCCTCGGAGCACCTCCCCCAGCAAGAAAAGTTTTAAAATGGAGAAAACTGAAATAGTCTCAGGGCTGTGTTTGGGAGCCACATAGAGGGACTGTGAATTGCCTGCAACACGCTGTCCTCTGCATACCAAGTAAAGAGGTTTCTGACCCACGTGTTAGTCCATCCTCTACAAACACAGCTGATTCAGCTGCAGATATTAAAATTCCTGGCCAGCCTTTGGCCGTTCACCCTGGGGCATTTTAGGAATGCACCTGTGATTTGGAAGAAATCGATCACAGCAATCTGATACAACCGCTTTAGTTACTGTACTCATGCCAGGCCACAGACTCGTGTTCCTCCTCCCCGAAAGAAGAGCTTTCTAAGAAGTTTTTAAAAACTTTTATACTCTTTTATAGCGCATTTTGCTAACTCAATCTCTTGTTTGCCATATATTCTGTTATTTACTATGGAAGCTACTGCTCTATAAATGTGGCCCTGTTGTTGCTGTCAGGAACTCGTAACTGGACGGATCTTTTAGTCTTTGTGTGGCTGGTTGGGGCGAGATGCAGCTGCCAAAGCAGCATTTACATTCTCAGCATTGCTAGGCAGCCAGCTAGGACTGTGACTGTTGTGCAGCCCCTTCCCTGATAGTCCAGCTTGTCCGACACGCTGATAAATCTTTATTTTCAGCTATTGGTGATCTCGGTGGATTTGGGGAGATTTGGTTTAAAGTTCTACAGGGGAAATATCGTTTCCTTCCCCCGCTCCTCTCAGTCTTTCCAATCTCCCTTGTCGTACACTGGAACCACATATTTCACATCTGCCTTTTTCTTACTTATTTTTAATATGTTTAAAAAAAATGCCTGAGTTTTTCACTTGCATTAATGAATTTGCTTTAAAGACTTTGTACATTGCATGAAGTAATGGTTATTCTTTTTTATCTTAAAAAAATAAATTTTGGTTATGACAAACATGAGGTTTTTCATTATACATGTATGACTGAAATAGTTATGTTGAGTGACAATTCCTACCTATCTTTTGGGGAAGTTTTATGGGGGAAGTGTAAGTATAGAACAAAGATTTCAAATATTTGCTTTGTTTCTGTTAATTGGTTGCTTGTTACTATATCCCCCCTTAATTAAATGTGCTTATGTATATCTGAAAAATAAATCAAATTTAGCATATTGTATTCAGCACCGTCTGACTTGTGTGTTGATTTAGTTGATGTTTTCTTTAGTGATGAACTAGAAATAAGTTTAAGGTGGCATTAATATGAACTGTAAGCATTTTACCAGGCAGAAGCCTAATGTAGAAATTTGAAGTGAAGTATAAAATATTCCAGGGCTAATCCACATTTCCTTTTTCCCATCAAGAACAAAGGCTATAAATGGATACATGACATATCATTATTCCAGAGTCCTAGAGCATCCTACGTGTCATTGCTATAAGAATATTTCCAGTATTAAAGGAACAAATTATCACCATTTGCAAGTAGAAAACTCATGGTAATAATTGTTGCTAAAAGCACAGTTTGGCAGGTTCTTCCCGTCGTATGCATGTTGGTTTAGTAGCCGTGGCTTATTATTATTTCTCAGGTAGTTGTTTAAAGTAGCTTCAGAACAAACCATCTAAATGCTGCCCTGCTCTGTCAAATGGGTCTGCTGGAATTTTGCAAAAAATAAAAGGGGAATATGTATGAGATGGGTGAATTTCTACTTCATTTTCCGAGGCAAAAAAGCATCTCTGCGTGTGATTACGATTGGGAGAGAAAGGGTGCACCTTTCTGGTCTCTCCTCCTGCAGTTAAGCATCAGCCTGGCTTCTGCACCTGTAAATTCCCCAGTCTTCATCTGTAATCTTTGTAAGACATTTTAGCTCCTGTCAGGAAGTGCTGTTTTCTTCCTACCCCGGGGGAAAAACAAATGCTGCTCTGCCTCATTTTAAACAGGCTCTTAATCCGGATTCTGAGGAAAGCTCTTGCCTGACACCTCGTAGCTAACAAAAACCCTCCCTTCTCTCTTCCCACACTTATATCCGTGTATCTTAGCATCAACATGTCAAGGAGCTGCTGCCTGTGAAACTAACGTTAGAAAACAAAAATCTCTGGAGATACCCCGAGGAAAAATTGCGCAATGGTGTGAAATGCAGTTGTTTTGAATGCTTGAGAGCTGTAAATATTTTTTGTTTCCAAGTTGAAATCTTAAATTGTGAAGAATATGCTTGAGTGCCTTTCCCCACGAGAAATCAAACTGCTTTCTTCCAAGTATTCGAGAGATTGTAATGACTTGGAAGGCTTCAGCACATGGAAGTGTCACCCTTACACTGGACAAGTGGAAAATGAGATTTTGACGTGGCTGATGGTCACAAAGATAGAAACGGACCTCAGGATGGCTAGCCAGTGTGTTAAACCCAGCTGTCCTTTTGATAAAATGCCTTTTGTGCAGTCGTGGCAGGAGAGAAGACAGAGTGGAAACTGAAGTTAAGAACGTTCTGCCCAGTCCCAGATCATTATGTTCCTATGACCTTAATGAGTTAGAAGCTGATTACCCCTTTACAAACTCTGGTTTTGAGCTGTTTTTCAGCCCACATAAGGCAGGTACATCCCTATTCCAGCTGGAAATGTGCTGTTGTTCTGTGCAAAGCAGAGCGGACACAAGCGAAAGTCCCAGCTAGGCAGTTTCCTTCTCCTGCTGATCCCTCACCGGATGGGTGACAGACACACGGTCCAGCCGTGGGTTTGTTGCTACTAAATCCGTGTTAGAGCATCGCTCGGGTTCCTGCTGGGACTCCATATAGCCCCGGGAGCAAAAATGTGGTTGTGTTTCTATCATGATGGGTTCAGTCATGAGGAACAAGATGGTGAAAGGGAGGAATTTAGAGGTGAGAAAAAAGCACTTTTGAAACTGCAACCCTAAAACAGACTGCACTGCATGAGAAGAGAGAAGGCTCGTACTCAAGGAAGGATGAGACACCAATAATTCAACCAAGAGGTCTGCATAGTAGTTGGAACATATTATATTGAGTTAAGCAGCCACGCAGTCACTAAGGGCATGCCTAGACTTGAAGTTTCTTTCAGGCTAACTTGTACTATACCACACGTAAGTTCCTTGAATCAACACATTAAGTGCGTATGTTACATATTATCAGAAAACTTAAGGAGTTTGGAGTCCAACATGCTCCAGAGCTATCTGCAGCAAACACCCCTTGGTGTCCTACATTTCTTGGCTGATCGCTGCTACCTGTGGAGCCTTTCCTGCCCTGGTGCTGTCTCGGCCTCCCTCTCTCCTCACGGAGATGCCTGCTGCTGACTTGTGCAATTTCAGGTCACCGAAAGTTCACAAATTTATGACTGCTCAGCAAGCAGGTTTCAGTAGTTAGGAAACCCTCTAGGAGGTTTTAGATTTTTTCCTTTCTGTCCCTGAATGAGCAGATAAAAGAGCCCATCGGCTGCTTCAGCTCAGGAATCTCCAACCTACAAACCCTTAACAAGCCCTTAACCTCGTGGCCATTGCTTAGTCTTAAAATACAGCGACATCATACTGCAGGATAAGCCATTCACAAGCATTTTGAGTTTATAGTGGGATAAGAACAACTATGGTAGGCTTTTTTTTGAGGGGGAGGCAACTGCTTGAAATATTTTACTGAGCTTACTGGTTAGTATAAGACAACCCTTTCTGATTTCCAAAGATGCGATCTCCCACTGCTGCTGATCAACACTCAAAAGAGGTAAATGGGTAAAATACGCAGTGACTAACCTTATTTCACCCCCCTCGTGAATCTTAAGAACAAGGAGCATATTTGGTACTTGAATTAACTACTGGGAGCTCATTGCTGTTGCTTTCCAGCAAACGCAGCCCGTTCACTTAGGGGCGGGATTGGGAATTTTGCCTTCAGCCAGACAAGCTCTGCGAGGTTTTTTACTCCCCTATTATAACATGAAGCCTTTTTCACGCCCCAACCAAAGTCTGTTTTTACAGGATCCAGTAGTTTAAGGGGGAAAAAAAAAAGGAGCAAATTAACAATTTCTTCAATGGCTTCTTGCCTGGGGAGAGGGGATCAGTGTTGCCAGAAGCGTTCGGTTATGACTCAGTCCCCTTAAAATCATGAGATAGGCTTAGTCACTTATTATTTTTTCCAGACACAAACGCCGAGTTCGTTATCGCTCTCTGGGATGATTTTTTTTTTTTTTTCTGAGTCTTTCAAACTCCGCCTGGGCGGCGGCATCGCCTCAAAACGGCCGCTGTGAGGCGGCGCCGCGCGCCCCTGGCGGGCAAAGGCCGCCCCC